GTTTCTAGAACACCATTATTATGTCATAATGACATATAATTTGCTCGATAGTTGCCAATCTGGACGTCCGTTTGAGAATTTGCGCGGATTATTTTCTTTCACATAAGTGGGCTTTGTTTGTATGTTTTACTGCAGTAACGTTGAATATCGGTGAACCAAGAGTTATAGCGGGAGATGACGCGTTGAAGAAGGCTTTAGGCAAGCAATAACAGTTTTTTATTCACTCCGACGAAGTTTTTTTAGAATAGGGCTAATACAGCGGTTCCCAAAGGATGCGCCGCGGCACACTCGGGAGAGGTGAGGAAGAAGAGTTGACCTTTTGCCTTTATTGTTCAGGCCTTCATGTTTACAAACTTCAAAAAGGCATGAAGTACACTTTAACGATCACAAAATTGAGTTGTATTTGAAGCAAATTGAAGGCAGCAATTTTTGTTTTCGTTCGCAGTGAGTTTATTTTCCTGACAATTTGGCGTCGCACCAACAAAAAGCTGCGGCAATACACAAGGATCGGTACTCCTGGAGGATGCGCACCAGGACGTCGCACAACCTGAATCCTAACCTGGCACACAACCTGAATTCAGGTTGTGCGCCATCTTGGTGCGCATACTTCAGGAGGTCCCAAGGATCTAATCTTTCTGATTCGTAATCTCGGGAAGTGTCTATGAGTTTTATATGTTATAGTGCAATTCAGTGAGAAATCTTTTGTACAAAACCCTCGCTAGCAGCGCTCCCAATAAGAAATTAAGGTACTCCTGAGGTATGAGCACCAGGATGTCGCACAACCTGAACCCTAATCTGGTACACAACCTGAGTTCAGGTTGAGTTAAGTACTTACTAGTACATCAAACGTTGTGGGTTGGGTAAGGATAAGGCAATTACCAGCAAAACTGTTTAAAATGGCGTTTCAGTTTTTGCGCCCTATTTGTTTCAGGGCAATTATCCACTTTTCTCTAATCTTGAACCAATGGTATTCGAGATTATTTGGAAATTTGCCGTTTTCTTACTTTCTAGTTTTAGGCAAATCTTACCCAATTTAGGATTTAGGGCTATTCATATGGAGTATTTAAGTTCAACAATTTGATGTAACTGTGTACGTCATATATGACGTTATTAATATTCACCGGCCATTGTTACCCGGCTTTTACCGGCTGTAACTTTTCACGTCACACTCACATGACCTGCCAGTCTTGATCTAGTCTAAAACCCTGCACACCCATGGCATGTGAGTAACGAGTTAAAATATTTTACTACTATGTTTACGAGATAAGGAGCAAATTGCTTCTGGAGTGCGGACTCACACGAAACGGTAATTGAAGTATGCGGACTCCCACGAAACGGTAATTGAATTTGGCGCCAACTGGACGTCGATATGACGAATGTGGTACGCGATCAAAAATTTATCACTGTAACAATATTTGAATGAAATTTAATAGCTGGCATTTAAGAAAAATCGATGAGAATGCTCTTTTATACGTAGAATTTAATTTAGAATTTTAGATTTTTTTTTTTTTTATACTAGTTTACTGAAAACGAGATCCCAAGTCTCGGTAGAGGAATTGAAAGTACTGATAGAAGAATTGCGAGTTTTTTGAAAGCGATGTCCCGAACCGTCGACTCAAAATAGGAAGAAGTACTGACAGAGGAATTTAGGTTTGCTCAAAACAAAGTCCCTGTCCCTCAACTAAAAGCGAAAATAGTACAGATAGAATCGTTGCAAGTTTGCTCAAAGCGAGGTCCCGAGCCTTTCACTAAAATGGAAGAGAGACATTGCTAGCGTGCAAGGCAAGGCATCAATCCCTTAACTAAATGTGGGAAGAGTAAAGGAGTTTCAAGCGATCACCATTGTGCCGAAAGCTATATATATATAAGATTGGTCCCGAATTGTCAGGTAAAATTGGAAACAATACTGGAATAGGGGTTGCAAACTGCCGTTCACACCGTACTAACTATATATAGCCTATATCTTTCAACTCAATCGCACAAAGCAAGATCTTGAGCCCCCAACTAACAGAAAAAATTGCAAACGACCTATCTAAGGGGTATAAAAAAATTTCGCCCGATTGTATAATAATAACAATTGAAAATTTTGCCTGATTTCATAGTAATATCAATTGTAAGTTTAAATAAATTTTATTGCATGATAATTGTCAAATACAGACACAATAAGAACTATTAATAAACAAAGACATTTTTAATTGGTATTATTATGAAATCGGGCGAATTTTTTTGGACATCCTCTTATAGTCTTATCCTTGCAATAGAGATGACAATAGATAACTAGCAACACAAGACTTCTATTGTTGGTAATAAAGTAAATTCCGCTATCTCGCGAGACGTCACAATCCAAAATAATAACAGTTGTGAGTAAATCACCGAACAAAATACGTCATTTGTATTGATATAAACATAAATAACTTCCTCGTGTTACGTCATAGTGCCCAATATGGTGTTTTCCTATCCGTTGCTTATCCTAATGTAAACATTACTTCAGTCAAAAACAATTTTTACATTTCTGAAATATACTTTTACCCCTTTTTACAGTTAACATAATATAGAGAAGTTATAGTTAGTCTGGTTGATGTGGTATATTCTAGTCTGGTTATGATTTTTATTTGTTGTTTTTTGTAATCTGAAGGCAAATCCGCCAGTCACCACATAAAAGCGGAAAGGCCATTAATAGAAACAAAGCAAGCAAATACTGGCACATAAAGAGTTGCATATCTATTTTTTGACACAACGGTAGATAGACATCCGACTAGTGCAGGACTAGCAACAATTTATTAAAGATTGTCATGGAAGAATATTTACGAAAGAAAGTTGTCAAAGTTTGGGCGCTTGTTAAAGTTTTTCAAGTATCAACAGTATGTCATTCAACGATAATTTTGCACTTGTTAAACTTCAACCCGCGCCTTATTTTTTCACATAGGGTGTTGCAATAGTTAAGGCGGCTTTCTTGGAGGTCTTTCACAAAACAAATTCTTCTACAGATTTAAATCTTCAGTTACGACACGATGATTTCAAAAAATGAATTCATCCGTCACAATTTGTTCAAGCGGGCGTATCAAACAACTATTATTACATCACAGAGATCTTCCGCCAACGCACAACAAGGGTCATCGAATATCGTACAAATCGTGAGAACTGACAGAGCTATACGATGGTATTTGTCGCTTAATCGTGCGGTAAACTGGCCTAATGGTAGAGTAACTTTTGCCGTTTAACCGTACGCCAAACATGCCCAGCTGTAGAAAAGTATTTGTAACTTTACCGTACCGTAACTGGGGTATTGGTACAGGACTCTTCGTCACTTAATCGTGCCTCAAACGTGTCCAGTTTTAGTTTTAGTATAGTATAGTACTCGTACGGTAAGCTGACTTAGTAGTAGGATAGTATAAGTCACTTGATCGTACGATATTGCACGCTAAATTTTGTGTCGCTTGCCAGATGTTAGTCGAACTGATTCTTAGGTTAGTAGAAAATGTTGTTACAGCTTATTAATATATTCATATAGTCACTATTACTGTAATAAGTTGAGTGTTTTGAAAGCATATCAGCGCAAAAGTTTAAATATTCGCGTATCTTTTGTTTGTTTATTGCTGGCCAAAGCCTCATTTAAACTAGTTTTTTTTTTTTTTGTGTGCTGGCGCATGATATTTCTCATATTTTAAATCTTTTCTAAGGTTTTGCTGGCTTTCCCGAATTCTCCATTTTCAATTTGGGTGTATTAGGGAGTTTTCTAGATAATTCATCTATCTATTCATTCTCAAGAACTAAAGCTTATCGACTATCGTAATACCCATAGATTGTTTTATTTGATTTTTATTGTCGTTATTTCTGTTATTATGATAAAATACTTTGTTACGCAACTATGAACCAGATTTTCATTGCTTGAAAAGGAAAAGGGTCGCCTGAACTCTATTACTTTTATTTTAGTTTTTGAATTTAATAATAACATTTTTTGCCTTTTTGTGTAATACCTTTGGGGGTTCTTATCCCATCTTAAGGAAATGACTATGACGTAACACGGGGAAGATATTTATGTTTATATCAATACGAATGACGTAGTTTGTTCGATTATTTACTCATATCTGTTATGATTTTGGAATGTGACGTCTCGCGAGATTGTTTTATTTTTATCGAAATTCATTTATTGAGAGGTTTTACTCAGTTCAAGGAATAGATAAATGGCCAATTTTTCACAACGTTTATATGTGTAATATATACGAAAGTGCAGAGACCCGATACCTTACTTTGTACAAACTCGTGAAAACGAGATTCCCATCCCCGAAACTTTGGTTCAGATGTTATGCTTTGACTTTAAATAAAAACTAATTGAAGCGTGTCATAATAAACATTAAGTATCACATTTGTTATTCCTTATGCAGGTGTAGGAAAGCTATAAAAAGGGAGACGAAATTACCAAAAAATTCAAAATAAATAATATTAAATAACATGTGTTTTAAGGAGATAATTGTTAAATTTAGGCAGCATCTACCCGTTTCCATGGCAATGTTAGCCTCAATTATTTCATGTCTTCAATGGCAAGCGATATTTTTTGACCTACCTGTCGCAAGGATAGACCTAGGTACAGTGCTTAGGACAACGGTAGGTGGTTTCAGCTTTTCTACCAGTGTTCTTGCCACTTGTAATTGGGGGATTGTGAACTTACGTTGAGCAAACTTAGGATAGAATATGATTTAAATACTTATCCCGGGTAGAGGAAAACCGATAAGACAGCTTATCATATGGCGAACCACGGCTTTTCGTCCGGTTACCGGTCCATGTCGGGTATGGGATTAGTTAGATATTCGTGTTCGGAAGCATGGACTTGATGGTGGATGAAGCCGTAACCGACCACCGGTTACGTGAACCACCCTTAAAATTAGCAGGTCGAAATAGTCTTTGCGGCTAATAGCTAAAGAATATCATAACAACAACTTTTTTTGCTTTGAAATTACCTCAAAAACTAAATGAATTTATTTTTTATACAACAGCATATATACATTAGTTTATTTTGAATAGTAAAGCAACCGATACAATAACTTTGGACGGGAATACCGTGACAGGAATTTCGTTTCAAAAGAAAACACTATTATTACGACACTACTGAAAGGAAATACCGTGCTCAATCATGCGAATAAAATCAACAAATGACGTCACGCAACACGACTACATCCTAAACTCGAAAGGTGAGTGATATATCTATTTTTAAAACGCAATTTTAAGGATTTCTAAATTTTTCAAAGCATGGTTAAGGGGAACATGCTTTGAGAAAGAGTTTGAGAACCAAACTTATCACGTAATACAGGGGTTCTCAACGGCCGGTCCGCCAAATATATTCCAATATTAATATATTATGAGCAAACTGCAAACCACGCAGATGTCCAGGCATAGAAAATTGCCATTATCACAGTTTTGGATATATCTTGAAAACGAATATCCCGAGCTCAGTGACAGAGTCATTAAATCAGTGTTTCAACGTTCTCATCAAGACCAAGCAGAGAAATCGTGTCAAGTCAACGCTCTATTTCGCCTCACAGAAACTTAATTGGAAACGCGTTTAACACGTATAATATTAAAAAGACAGCAGCAAATTTCTCATTAAATTGGATTTCCCTATTTTGCTCCGCCTACTTTTGTCGTAATTGCATTCTTTCGATTATGTTTTGTGTTAATGACATTTTGGTTAATTTCGAAGATCCACCGGTCGGCAAAATTTCTTTTGAAATTTCACCTGTCCGCGAACCGAAATAGGTTGAAAACCACTGACGTAATAAATTTTATATGGATTTGCTAATGCTTCTGAGCTATGAGGTCGAATTTAGGTTTTTAATGAAATAATGGCGCTCCTGGAGTATGTGCACCAAGATGTCGCATAACCTGAACCCTAACCTGGAACATAAACTATGTTCAGGTTGTGGGCCATCTTAGTGCACATACTCCAGGAGAACCGAAATAATAGTAGTAAATTGAATTTAATAACGCAGAATATATTCGAAATAATAAATTTGATTGTTCCCTGCCACCCCAACAATATGGCAAATTTTTTTTTCCATGTCCATCTCCGATAACAAAATATTGAATATGTTCTAAGTTGGTAATCATGCAGAAATATCATTGATAAAAATAAATTTGATATTATTCGCAATACAGAATTTTTTGGTTTCGGTCGCTACACGCTGAAAATAGTGACCATAACGCAAACTCTTTTCTCATGTCCGTCTGTCACCACCAGTCCATCACAAATTGTAATGTAATACGATTCTTAACAAAACATGAAGATTAGGATCGACTTTGTTTGTTTTAGTAAGCCAATTAGTTGGTGTGTGGTTTCGGGTGGAACGTGGGTCGGATATAGTTTGATAATTTCCCTGAATGAACTACGCTGCCCTAGATGTTTACCATGTGACACGTCAAAATGTCGCACATCCTTGATTTACATGATTTCGGGTCTCAGCTCGGGCCGAACCTCAAATATTTGCCTATAGTTGTAATTTGGTGCTCCCGAAGTATGCTAACCAAGATGGCGGACATCGGAACGTAACATGGGTAACAGGTTAGGGTTAGGCGATAATTTTTTTCCAATTTTCCTTATTTTACTCCTATTATCAGTTCGAAGACTAGCCAAGAGCCTCCCGTAGTATTTATACCTAACATTATGGCCTAACCCTAACCTAGTACACATATTACATTCCGATGTTCGCCATCTTGGTTCGCATACTTCGGGAGCCCCTGTAATTTTTTACTTCTGATATAATAAGGACACATAACAGAAGTTGTTCTCTGCGTATCATAGGCCCTTTCAGTGCGTTTAAATAGAAAGAACGAAACAAACGCCAATAAAAGTGGCATTCGTGAATAAAAATTACGATGAATTTAAATCTTTTATCATAAGAATAAAAATATAGAGTTCTTTTAAGTGCTTGACCTTGTGAATTATCGTCTGACCTTCAAAATGATCTGATTATATTATGTCGGCTAAAATTGACATTTTTATGACAAGCCTTTCTTTTATTACGGCCGACGCTCTTGACGGAATTTGATAAATATGACATGCGGCAAAATAAAAATTACCAACGAGTTATGGAGGGCAGGAGAACTGCTGAATGTGCCATAGTCTAAAATGAAAATATACGCGGACAGAAATATGACATGCGGTTTGATTTAAATTGTTTGGGAATTGCTTTTTATGGAATTTACGGAAAATTAATATAATATAATATGACAAATCTTCTGATACTCCTGAAGTATGCGCACCAAGATGTCGCACAACCTGAACCCTATCCTGATACACAACCTGAGTTCAGGTTGTGCGCCACCTTGGTGCGCATACTTCAGGAGGTCCAATCTTTTATTATGGTAGAACGGAATCTGACAAATGTGGCTGTGATGGTCTCGATTCTGCATGCATTCCAAAGTTGTTGTTATTGGAATCTGTATGGTGCAATAGGCTTGTTAGATTATGATCGTAGTTTATGTAACCTGTATTTTAGGTTGATAATTGCCACAACCAAACTAAAACCAAATTTTGCTGTTTTAGATAAAAAATAGCTCAATTAATTTGTGGAGAATGCGATTAAATTTAGTTTTGCAATGATGCAATGTTGCAATGTTAATGGGGACACGTAACAGAAGTTGTTCTCTACAGCAGTGTTTTTCAACCGGGGTGCCGTGGCACACCGGTGTGTCGTTAAATATTGTCAGGGGTGCCGTGGGAAATTCTCCAAGTTGTGTGTCTATGCGGTGTAGCGTCCGGCAGAGTAATCGTGTCGTACTGTTCTATATCAGACCGTGGCAGCATCTGGTGGCGATTTTTTTTTGTCTTTGTTTTTATTTGATTACTATTCAAGATGTCCAATTCAACAACTTTCTTCAATGTTAAAAATCTTATATTTACAATATAACACTTATATTGTGAATATTAGGCATTTTCGCCATATTTTCAGCTGGTGGTGTGCCGCGGGATTTTCTCACTGAAAAAAGTGTGCCTTGGCTCGAAAAAGGTTGAAAAACACTGCTCTACAGTCTACGTATCACAGACTTTTTTCAACGTTAAAAATGAAAGCCAGTTTTGGTCCAAAAATCTTACCCATCCCTGCTTCATAAGGACTGGAATTGTTTATAGTCTACAACAGGGGTCGGCAACCTTTTGTCGCTCGCGGGCGAAAATCAAGGGTTGCAAGTCATTGGCGGGCCGGACATTTTTTTAAAAAGTTGAAAACCGAACGAATGATACTTTTATAACAAAAATCTAGCAGTGATACATCTCTCAAATAGAATAAAAATATATTTCCTCGTTGCATTGCATCTCAAAAAATTCCATTTGAATATTTTCGGGGCCATTGAACCCTTTGCACTTGGGATCAACTTTGCTGCGTTTTGTTGCCATTTGTCTAATTACAATTAAATCATAGGCTTATTAAACGAGTAATTGGTAAATATTGTACCGGTTAGATTAAAATATAATTTAGTCTACCCGTGTATACAATATATCGCCGGATGAGAACAGAACAGGCCTAAGTCACAATTTTAAGTTTTGAGAAAAACGCAAAAAACAATTTGAAATTTTTTTATTTTTGAATTTCTAGATATTCACACTTAGTAAAGTCCTGAGCTCTGGTTATTTTAATGTGGATGAGAATATCTTTGTAATCAATATTTTTTGGCACTTCAGTTTCAATTCCTTCCTGCTTTTTTACCCCCATAAGAAACTTTGGCCCATTCTGTTCTCAACAACTTCTGAAATTTTTTGTATGGGATGCAAGGTAAAACAAGGTGACTTAGGCCTAAGTTGCACTGAACAAATTTTTAGGGATGTAAGTTTCGGACATTTGATTTTTGATGTTCATGCCCATCATATTGGAACTTAGGACTATCTTTTTTCAATATTTTGGGGTTTTGAGCCATGCTCTACAAGGTGGTTGTCTTGAAATCCTGAATTTCTCAATAATAAAAATTTTAGCTGGACTTAGGCCCATTCTGTTCTTAAATATTTTAGGCCTAAGTCCAGCTAAAATTTTTATTATTGAGAAATTCAGGATTTCAAGACCACCACCTTGTAGAGCATGGCTCAAAACCCCAAAATATTGAAAAAAGTCAATTTTCCAAAAATGTGACTTAGGCCCCTTCTGTTCTCATCCGGCGATATTCTGTTATGTAGAAATATAATCGTCAAAACAGCTGTTTTGTTACTATAAATCAGTGCAGCGTCGTGGGCCGCACTGTATTACTCCGCGGGCCGGATCCGGCCCGCGGGCCGTAGGTTGCTGACCCTGGTCTACAACCCTACCCAGTACGTTATGAAGTAGGTTATGGGGGTTTGAACGCAAGATATCAAAAATGCTCTTTATTATAATTAGTATTTACCAATGCGCTCCGTAAGTGCTGTTTGTGCTTATGGCGTAACAACGCCGTCGTCAAGGGGTTAATCAAAACATTTACCTCAGAATAGCGCGCGGGAATGTAACAATAACGATTTTAAGCTAACAATGAATCGGTTTATGACGTATGAATAGAAAATGATTGATGACAACGTTTGAAAGAAAACAGATCCGATGATAAGTTAAATTGTGGCGTAACAATGCTACGATGAAAGCTGTTTTCCGATGTTTTGTTCGCTCACAGATAAATTTTGACAAATTGTACACATAAATGGAATTTCCTATTTTGTTGTGTTTGTTTATATAGATGACAGATACAGTGATATCTAGTATTCTGTATATCAAATAATTGTCTTGTGCAGCTACAATAAAATTAAATTTGTTGTCCATATGGCAGCTCAAGTAGATACCTTGATATCATCTTGTTTTGTCTGAAGAATTTAGAATATAATCTAACAAAAGTTATCACCAAAATATACTCGCTATTTTGTGAGAGATTATGTAATTTCTTGTATAGAAATAAAAAATTTAAATTTTGAAAAGAAAAGGATCGTCAATTTGGTTATCTGGTTGCATCGTCAATTGGTTAGATCCGTGGTTCTCAAGTGCGTCGTTTCAATTTTGCTAGGGCGTCCCAAAACTTTTCATATTTTGTGGAATTGTACATGCGGTACGTAGAAAAGTCAAAATTCTCGTTATTCTCGTTTGAATCACACTTGAGAACAGGAGATGACAATATATTAATTAGTGTAACGATTAACGGTATCTATATGTGACCTCACTAACGTCACGGGCTATTTAATGCTGTTCCAATTATGACATCACACACACTGGGTCGGGTCAGCTCGAACCATGCATGTCATTCATTTCTAATCCTTTCATGAACATTGGTATTCAATATTGACACCACGGCAGTTCTCCTCAGGCATAATTTAAATGAAACTCATTGCAAAAAAGGTCTTTCATTAAAAAGTATCAAGCTGTTTTCACGGGGAGTCGCAACTTGATGATATTTTTCGGAGGGCGTCGCCAAGAAGTTTGAGAACCACTGGGTTAGATGATCGGTCTGGCATTCTATCCCAAGATCTTTAGCATACGATGTCAAAACACTTACGTATACTATTCCGGTAGGCCAGCAGTTCCCAGACTCTCTGTTCGTGCGGCGCCAAATTATCAGAGAAAAACGCGGCGCACCTACAAGAAAAAAATTGCCACTTTTGAATAAAACTCAATTTTGTAATCGTTAATGTGTACTTTACGCCCTTAAGAGTTTGTAAGAATGTATGCCTCAGTAATAAAGACAAAAGATCAACTTTCTTCCTCCATCTCTGCCTGATTTTCCTTTAAAATGCTAAAAAATTCACTCACGTCCGCTAAACTCGGATCAGCGGATGAATAAACTGTAGCTCGCGAATTTGGGAACATGAGTGAATTTTTTAACATTTCAAAAAAATTGGTCAGTAATATTCAACTGGTATTCCGTTAACGATTTTCAGGTGTTGCGCGTTAAATTGTTGTTACTCAATTCTTCTGATTGACTATTCATGGTGAATTTGATAGGTTTTACTGCAACTCGAGAAATAAGCTATTGGCGCGAAACAGGGATCATTAGTTAGTCGGGCCCTTTATTCTCAAAGAATCTGAAATTTCATTTCGTGTTCCGCAATCAATTTATAATATTGGAAGTGTTCCACGGACTAGAAAACCTAAAAATCATTGCCCTCACAAAAATAGCTGATAATTCAAAACAGATAATCCCCGACCACATGACCACAGCACGGATTCGCAGGTCGCGAGAGGTAATCCGGTAATAGCTGTTTTGGTGAATGGTTCCGTGTGACGCATATGGCAATTTTAAAATGTTATGGCCAAATTTAATTGGATACGGCCTTACGTCATGATATCGAGCGTTTGGAATGTTTTTGCCACAGAACCCCGGGGTTTGGTCGTATCGTCGCCAGCTAAAAAATATTTTTTTTTTGTATTGACGTAATACCAAGCTTACTCGTGCCTTTTGTTCAAAACAAGACTAGATAAAAGTAGTCGGTGACATCTAACAATATGTTTAGAAATTCCTCCATATGCTTACTTCGCTGTCGAAGTTATCCAAGCTATATAAGCGCGCATTTTCATCTATCTCGGGCTCATTTGGAGAAAGGATTATTGATAGTTAGCCAGGAAACATCGGTTTTACTGTAAATCACTCAAGACCAATATGGTGTTGGAAAAGGCAAAAGAACTTATGTCTCACTGCAAATGCCGCAATAAAAAATGTTGAAAAATGGGTTAGGGGGATTGGGATAGGGGGGCATGGCTACGCCTATCTTTTGATGAACGATTCGTGTGATGCAAATGATAAATGTTAAATGTTCTGACAAAATGAAATAAATACGCCTTAGTGTGTCCTGTTTGAGTGTCAAAATACATTCTTTTCATAACACTGCTGAGCGTTGTTAACCCTCAACGGCGTCAAGCACTGTCTCGTGCGTCCTGGTTAGAAAACGTTCTAAACAATTTAAAACACGGGTCTTATCGTCTCTTGGTGCGCTTTGTTAAGTGTTAATAAATCACAACAAGAGGAAGCAGAAAAGAGATATTAACATGATGATCAACAACATAATAACAAAGCTATCCATAGGTACATTTCGTGTCCTGCAATACAAAAGACAAACACACATCCGAAATTATCCTGACTTAAACAAGGGAGCAATGCTCTTTTATGAACATATAAACCTTAGTAAAAAACGCGCGACTTTGCTTACCATGACATCGCTGAAATGCGATTGCGGAACCGCCACACGGTGCGCAATTTTCAATTTGATGACGTCATCAGATTAAACGTTTCGAAATGAATGAAAGTAATAGCCTTGTAAAAACAACAATCTTTGGTAATCCCTTAGTTTGTGAACCAAGATGGTGGACACCGTAACGTAGTATGTGTACCAGGTTAAGGTTGGGCCATATTTTCAGGTACAAATACTACGGGAGTCACTTGGCTAGCCTCCGAACTCATGATAGAACTAAAATAAGGAAAATTGAAATAAAAATAAGAAGTAAAATATCAAGAATATTGTCAACAACAGCAACAAAAATTGAATTAATCGGTTCATTTCGTGTCAAACAAATCGGGCCTGCCTTTATTATACACATGTTAATCCGCGTATATATATATATAGACTATAATCTTCAATCCGGTAATTTTATTTTTCACATCCGACCACAGCCTTGATTTAATGGCAGATTATATCAATTTGCGACTATTTTTGCATCAAGTTAAATAAACAAAACCAGCGTCGCAGGATGATATGGTTTGTGCAAAAACAACTGAGTTCCGCGAAATAAAAATGGATTACGACAGAAATAACTCCATGAGAAAATGTATTTCGTTGGGGGCCAACGTACTGTTAGTCGTAATTGTATGTGTCGGATATAGACGGGCATATCCGGGGGAGCTCTCAATTATATTTTTTGTGGTAGATGAAGGCTTATAAGATGGATAAATTATATGGCAAACCACCGACTAACTCGGCATGCTTGTTGTGAGTTGTTAAAACTAAATTTTATGTTTTCGACCTGTTATATAGGTATGGGGTAAGATTTCGGATTTTGTTGTCGTCTCAGTCATATTCCAGCCCCGTTTGTGTTCTGAGATATAGTTACCACATTTTCGTCCCACTTAAACTGGAACAGACTTGAACAATTAAAAAGGAAGTCAATGATCAATGTGCTCCTCGGAAATGGTCACAAGACTAGACACTTGTGGATGGCACGGGTTTAGCAATCCTTACGCACACAGTTATCCACGACGAGATTGAAACTTGCAAACATGTAAAACATATTCATTTAGGTAATTCGTATTCATAATTACCGTAATTATATGGTTGAAATATGAATGAGCAACTCTTTCGTCAGTTGTGTCAGTTCAAACGAGAAGAGTTCGAAAGAAGTGAATCAAGTCCATGCTTCTGAAAACAAATAACTGGTTGACTAATCTCATACCCGACATGGACTGGTAACCGGACGAGAGACCGTGGTTCGCCATATGGTCAAGCCGTCTTATGGGCTTTCCTCTCACCCGGGATGAATATGTAAATCCTATCCTAAGACTCAGGCTCGACTTATTACTTTTGTCTCACACTTTCGTCCCAAACAGCGCCTTGGACATCTTGCTACTATCGTATTTTGCTCAGGAGGGACCATGATCTTCTTACTTTAACGGGTTTCATGTAGTTTCGTCCCAAACATACTTCTAGTGGGCGTAGCATGACAATTTTTTCACGTATCAATCCTAACCCCCGCCTGACTACACCATCCAAAAATTACATCAACACGACGTCACAGTGACGTAATAGAGCCCTTCAAACTATACGAACTGCTATCCAAGACGCGCAAACGAGCACCCGAAATCGAACAGTTATTTCTCTCGTTTTCTCGTCGCACCGATAAAGTCTTTCTTTTAAGTTCTTTATCGTCGGCGCCAATGCCATTTCGGGCGATTGTACGTATATTAGTTCTATGACGTGATTGTGATGTCGTAGTGACGTAATTTTTGAATGCGTATTCAGATGGGGGTTAGGATTGACGTATCAAAAAATTGTTATGCTACGCACACTGAAGTACGTTAGGTACGAAACTACACGAAACCCGGTTTCTTGGTTTAACAGCGTCTGCACATTTAATTACACGTAAAGTGATGTGATGTGTTCGGGGTCCGAACCCGAGAATGTATTGCATCCTCGGTTCAGTCATATTCTATGGTTTAAAAAGAACAATAGGTTTATATCAAGTATTGTTAGCGAAACAATACCGATTGTTGAATCACAATCTTGTGGTTCGATCGGTTGTTCGCTGATGTAGATTTTATGAATGTCTCTTTGCTGCCACCCCATGTCCTCACGGTTACGAGATTTCATTCCATTGGAATGCTTTATCGTTGCCACAGTGTACAGATTGCAACCAACAATGCCCTCTGCGGAGTAGACCATAAAAGTGGAGTTTGGAAATATATATCCGTATGCGTAATTATCCATAACCTGTTGTCTTTAACGTAGCCCAACAAAATCCTCTGAAATTTATTTTTCGTCAGAACTGATTCGAATAATTTACTATTCTATTCGAAATCCTCAGCCCCACTGACGACCGAATCCCAAACGCATCAAAATGAAACTTTTTACGTGGGCATGATTTCTATCTTGTTGAAATTGGCGGCCGAAACATATTGAAATAGAGAATACTTTTGACACGGTAACACTTAATTGACATATCAAGTTTCAAAGTCTCGTTATTTATAAATTTAGTCGCCCTTGAAGTCGGAATAAAAACCGTATCAGGTTACGTTGTTATTCTCGAGAATTCTTGGTGTGACCTATTAAAAAGCTTTAACGAGGACAACGAATTGTAGGGGAATTCTTGAAAAGGGTATTTTTATTTTTGTTTGAATGACCCCATACGCGCAGGACTATCAGGATGCTATGCAGACATCCACACAAGCTGTTTAGTATCAGCCATGTTCTCAATAATGACTAAATGCTTCACGTTTTCAGATCCGCCAAATTCTATCGACGAAGACAAAATGCAAAATGGTCACATGAAGGAAACAGCGTTGCTAAGCGACAGAAGAGGTCAAAGGTCAGACAAATCAAATTATATCAAATAACTTTTTATGCCACACTTGCATGGCCCGCCAGTTCAAGTGGACAGGATTTTCGGTCCCTGGCTTTATAACCTTGCCTACGTCTAGGGTAGGGTCAAGCCCATAAGCAACGCAGACGAGAATATTCATTCTAACAAAAGTTAATAGATTACTACTTGTGCGTCTGTTCGGATTGTAAATATAAAATCATCCCAGAAAAATGTCATTTCTCAAATTCTTAGGACTTAACAACGACAATAGACAGGCTTGTTTGTAAACTTTCGCTACTTGACATCCTGCATTCCTTGATAAGAATGTCGCGTCGCATTGGCACGAACTTGTGTGGATGACTCCGCATTATCGACGTCACAATCATGCTTAAACGAGTATGGGAGAGAGATGCACTACTCGAGTCCCATCCTAGTTCGGTTGAACGCTCTAACGCTGACATGAGCAAACTACGGCCTGCCGGCCAATTCCGTTCCGTTAGGTGATTTAATCTGGCCCGCCTGATGCTGCCATAAATGTCTGCTTTTAACCAGTTCTGCATTTCGAAATCTGCATATCGAAATCTTTATGGCACAATAGGATTGTTAGGTTATTATCTTGATCTGTTTAGTTACCGCAGACTATCATGTTCTTTTTGTTCATAGCGCTGACAATACTGACAATATTTACTAAGGTTTTGTTCATAACCGAAAAGAGAGGCGACCAAGGCAATGCGGTGACTGATGCGTAATCATTTCATGCTCTAACTTTGTAGAGTAGTTGTAAAGTTTTAGAAGTTTCTGATTTTCGGGCAGCGAAAGTTGTAAAGCCGGGATGGTTCATATCGAATACTTTATTCATGGATCTGGAATTGGGGGGAAATTTCGTACGCTACCGTGACTCTAAACTCCTGGTGATTCCATGGTCATTATAGTTATCAATCAATTTGTAAAGCACCTCCGGTTTCTGTTCCGGATTCAAATCAAATTTGACTCCCGACTCTGGATTTCAGAAAATCGTTTACGGTTCACGAATCAGGCTAGGCTAATTTCGTAAGCCGTAGCAAAGAATAACGAATGCCGAAAAATATAGACCTGACACCAGCGCCGCGTGAGACATGCTTGTTCGCCGAAACCGTGCTAAAACGTATTGAAGTCATTAAAGATAGCTATCAATTTGTAATAACAACTCCGGTTACTGTTCCGGATATAAATATTTTTTGACTCCAACACAAAATCGTTCACGATCCACGAATCAGACAATTTTTCGCAACTCGGAGCTAGGAATGACCATCGCCGATATATAGTTAGGACCGGCGATAGCGCCGCGTGAGGCATCCGTGTTCACAGAAACCGTGCTAAAACGTATTAACTGCAATAATAGGAGCATTAGCACATCGTAATGGCCATTAGTCTAGGTCACTGCCTGTAGTTCTGGTAATTATCACTTTAACATTAGTTCTCTATTATGAATTCATTAGCACGTCGGATATCCTGACATACACGAAATACTGCGAAAATCTGAATGGCCATATCTTTGCGAGTAATAGGCTGTCATAAAGATTTAGTGGCGAAATAGATGATTTTTATTAGGTTTTCATAAAAATGTCGCATTATTATTACCAGAAAAAATATTCACACAGTTATACGGCGAAGGAAAGGCGCAAATTATCAGGTTGTGTGACACTCAAGGGTCTCTCCTCAAAAACAAACGAGAATATCGGTCGGAGACCGAAGATTTATTGATCGAAAGTTAGGGGATCCCCAAAACAGAAACTGCGGTTCAATTCTTCCATTCTTACTCCATAGCGACTCCATGTGTCCCATCAATAATTAATTAATAACTCGCTAATTATACGACATAATTCATCCAAAATCAATAGGCTTCTGATCCGAGATATGATGAATGCACTTACAAAATGAAGCAGATTCAACCTCGCTTTCGTGCGATATCGCGTGTATCTAACAGACAGACAGACAAACAAACAAACAGACAAATACCTATCAACATACTTAGTAAAGTAAAAACACCGACTCGAACTGGAAATATAATATAAAAATTGAGGCAGTGACTAAGATAGGGTTTTGCATACTGGGCCCCCGGGCCACAAAGTCCACAAAGCGGATTTCTGGGAACACAAGCAGAGACTTTCACTAGATCAAGGGTGAGCCAGTTACATATAATACTTGGTTACTGGGCCGGAGACTCAAAACTCAATATGAAAACCTATGAATAAAAACTGTTTACTTACAAAAGCTAGTCCAACAGTTAGGCTAATGTTTAGATCGTAATAAAAAGCACAAAGTAACAATCGGAGTTATTATAACGTTATTTTAATTGATATTTTCAACAAAAATTTATCTCCATAAAAACGATAGTCGTAATTTCAACAGTCACAAGTGGGCCGGATGAAATACTCCGGAGGGTTGGATCCGTCCCGCAGGCCGAAACCAGTCCAACCCTTCAATAGATACCATCCGCGATCCTAATTTAAATTAAATTCACCGCGATACTCCGAAGATAATGCATATGTTCTTTTCCCTTCATTTGTTTGCTTTTTATTACTAACAGTGTCGAAAAAAAATACAGGGTGTCCATGAGGTCCCTTTACAATTTCAATTTTGCTATAAAGTCAGTTCTCAATATATCTTAACCATTTTTTTAGCAGTAATTGTTTAGGTATTTTTACTTCATTTATTACATCTGTGAGGGCCAAAACAATATATGGTATCGATGAATTCGCTTTTTGCAATTTTAAAAATTTTGAAGAGTTTATGGACATCCTTTATCTGATAGAAATTAGGAATTTTTATAGAATGTTGCGAGTCTTCGAAAGAAAGTCACGGACGATGACAGTTTGAAAACCTCAAAATTGAACTTCACTATAGCTAGTTACTTTAACATTCATTTTCAAACGCGAAGATAACTGCTAGACGCCCATTAGAAGCAAAATTTGGTATTTTTATACAAAAAACGCGGGTCACATTTTTGGGAGTTTTATGAAAGTTTCAGAACCACAGAATTGAACTTTCCTATCTAATGGAATAAATAGCTAATGACGATACTCCTGAAGTATGCGTACCAAGATAGCGGACACTGGAACGTAGTATGTGTACCAGGTTAGGATTAGGCCATAATTTCAGGTACAAATACTACGGGAGTCACTTGACTACTTCCCGAACTTGCGATAGATCTAAAATGAGAAAAATTGGAATAAAATTATGGCCTTACCCTAACCTGGTACACAAACTTCGTTCCGATGTCCGCCATCTTGGTTCACATACTTTGGGAGTACCCTTTCTTTAGCTTTTATTTTTAAACACGATGCATAAAGCACCCGTTAAAAGCAAAAGAAGGTATTTTTTTATTCAAAAACGGGGGTCACATTTTTGGGAGTCTTTAGAAAGTTTCAGAACCCCAGAATTGAACTTCACTAACTACTGGAAGAATTAGCAAATGACCTTATCCCACGGTTCTTCAATGACTGGGCGACGAGAACTGCATTATGACGTTTACAATACACAATTGTGTATAGTGATAACAAATTACGTACTTAACTAGTTAAGGTTGAATTTGATGTGTTTATGTACCTTTCAAGCGTGGGGTATGGTTGAGTTTCGCCGAACAGGCTCGGCACAACTATACCCCACGCTTGAAAATACGATCTCAAAGGCACTAAGCATTATCACACTAGTGCTGCTGTTAAATTTAAACGCAGCTGCGTGACTGTCTGTATTGAGCTTCGCCGATGCGATAGGTATTGCTTTATTTTAGTAGTTGAAGCTGGTCGCCTAGATTGTAGGTAGAAGTTGATATAGTAGATAAAAGTTGTTCGGTATAATGGTAGCGGATTAACGGTTTAAATTGGTAAAAAATATTGGATGTGGTTTATTAACCAATATTCGGAATTCTTTGCGATTCAGGGAAATTGGATTCGATTTTTTATTCGGATCATTATCCGTGTGTTTCAGTGTTTGTCAGATCCAATGCTTTTCAAGGCTCCTGGAGCTTATATTGGGAACTTTGTATTGAAAATTGTATTTCATCGGTGCAACGTTAACGGTACGGTTTAACGGTTTCAGTTGATTAAGAATGATATTCGATGTGGTTAAATTTTTATTCGGTGTACCGTATATGCATTTGTTCCAATGTCTTTCAACGCCTCTATTTATTCATGATTATTTCAAAAGCGATTCGTAAGTTGATTGATATAACGGTAACGGTATAGCATTAATGGTTTAAGTTGGTAAAATTTGCATTGTATGTGGTCTATTAACTAAGATTCGGAATTCTTTGCGATATTGTCGAAGCTAAGTTATTTTTATTCGTTTTAATTAACGCGTGCTGGTAATTGTCAGTTCCAATGCTTCTCAAGGCTCACGAGGTCAATATTTGTGACTTGGGTTGTGTAGATCAGTGGTTCCCAACCTTTCTATCCTGGCGGACCGGTAAAATTAAATTAAATGTACTCGCGGACCGGCAATGAACATATAATATAATGCAATGTCGGGCACTCAATATGCTTCTAGACAAAAAGGCACATCTAAAAACATTTCACACGAAGTAAAAATATCAAATAATGTGCCGGCCAAAAATAGAAATGGGTGAAACATAATGTAATACCATCTATTTTCTTAATAAAATGCAGTACTGGGCACCCATTGTGCGTAAGGAAGGCACGCATAGAACATCTCGCACAAAAAACATGTACATGCCAAATAATGTATAAACACAATTAACTCTAGTGAGAATTTTGCTGCTGCTTCGTTTCCAATATTGGATTGCAAACGAGGCCTCAAAGAAGTTTCTGCAACATGTAGCTCTGCCGAGGCGTGCAGCCCGATTTCTTTGCTTCGTTTTAATTGAAGCTAGTGATGAAAATGTTTTTTGCATAACGCAGTAACTGATTGAAAATACGGACAACAGTGCTTGATTGCTTGATTACTTAGCGATGGGTATTCGTCATCAAGAGATATCAAAAATTGTGACAATGATTCTTTCTTAAATC